CTCTCCTGGATAAATACAACGGAAATTCTATTATTTGTCGACATCATTGTTGTTGCAATATCACTGTAAAGTTGAATGAAAATGCAAATGGAAGTTCCACGAGCCATATTCACTGGACGGTATCGGCACTGGACCATACACAATCGTTAGACAAGAACAGCATTCATACTTAGAGTTATTTTTGTTGGTTAGATCGCGTAAATATAAACGTGTCATTAAACCCACCTCCACCCGACACAGCCAACCAGTGAGGTTTTTGACGTAAACAAAACATGGCAAGTCGTTACTAGTACAGCACACCAGTGTGGTGGAGAGTAAACCCACTATAACATTTACAATTCGAGTACTGGGGGTTTACTCTCTAACACTCCGGTGTTGGACTAATTTATTGGCACGTTGTTTACGTGACAAACTTTACTAATTGGCTGTGTCAGGTAGAGGCAGGTTTATCGACACATTTATATTTATCCGCTCTAACACAAAAAAAAACTTTAGTATGGATAATATTGCTCGCGAAAGCCTACCCGTTAAACTGCATTCATTGCAACATTTAGCATTTCGTCGGCGTTAATGTCGGGGTTACCACTTGTCTGGGTTTGGCCCAGACAACCTGGGAAATTGACGCCTGTGTTCGGGTGAAAGTAACTGAAAAGTGCCGAGATCTGGTGGCATTTTGCTGAACTTTATCACAGTTTTTTTGCACAGTTTACTGAGACGTATACGTGGGTTTGGTCTACGGCGGAAAATTTGGCAAACCCAAGGTTTGCGTTTCATGGCAAGGATGAGGATTAAAGCGGCGAGTCTGGGTTAGAGTTAGGACTGGCACTTGGGGTAGGACTGGGGGTCAGGCACTGGTGTAGTGTGAAGGGAATGGACCCTGGTACAAGGAATAAATTGGGGCCCAATTCAGACCTGTGGTATTCGATGCGTTTGTACGGCCTGTACAATTGATAGCTACGCCACTGGCCCTAGGGTTCTGGGTAGGGTGACAGGTATTGTTAGGGGTAAGGATATCACCGTGTTAGAGTTGGGGGAGGGTGAGGTTGAAGCTTATGCTTGTGATTAGTGGTTGGGTGGGGTTGAAAGTTAGGTCTAGGGTTGTGTGAAATTAAAGGTTGTGATTAGGGTTCTGTAAGGATAAAGTTTAGTATTAGGCTTATTATTGGTGGTAGTGTGGTGTTGAAGATTACAGTTAGGATTAGGTGAGGTTAAAGGTTAGGGTTTGAGTTGTAATTAGTGGCAAAGTGAGATTTCCATTCAGGTTATTATATTGAGTGCTCGTGTGAGGGTTAGGGTTAATGTAGAGTTTTAATCAGTGGCAGGGTTGAGTCAACAGTGAGGGTTAGGATGATGTATGTACTGTATGTTGAACGTATTTCGCACCGTACGTAGCAAAGCACGCTAGTCGTAGGTGTGATGTCGTAGGTTCGGGTTCGTGTCGGTTGCACCCCCTAGGAGCTGCGCATGCGGTGAGTCTAGCCGCCAGAGCCGCCGCAAGCCGGAGCGAGTTTAAACATTCTTACACAAACAACGCGCGCAATACACACAACCCATTCGTCTAGACAGTTAGTTAAGTGACAACACGAAAGGTGATGTGTATAACAAACAAAATAAAGTATCGCCTTCCCGCCCACTACACAATTTAAGACATTTACTGCTTGTGAGCTTTTGGGCTGAGTGGTCAAATATGCTCGTCACGGAGCATGAAGCAGGAGAACTTTGGTCATCCTCGCAGCTGATTTTGGCTCACCATCAAAGACGGCCACTGCATCGCGAGCTTTCAGATGAGCCTCTGTGGCCGTCTAGAATGCGCTTCCTTCCAATATATTCGGAAGCCACTGGAGATATGCACTTTTAAATCACCTAGATTGAAAACTCATTTCTTTAGAACTACTTTTTGTGTTAAATTTGTTGGCCTTTCCAACCGCACCTCCGATTAGCACGGTTGGTTACGTACATACAACAGACGAATTTTTCTCATGTTTAGTTTCGTGACGGAAAGTCAATCCTGTATTTCAGCTCGAAATTGTATTGCCTTTTTTTGGGAGAGCGGTGGCGCGGTGGTTAGCGACGGGCGTTATGAATACAGCGACCGGAGTACAATTCCAACCCACGTTTAATGTCAGTGGTGAGTGATACGTGAACCAATTCTAGGACAATGCACAGTGACCAGCGTGGTGAAGTATGGTTCAAAAACGCCCCATAACCAAACTACATGGAAAGGCCTTCATGTGGCAGTGGATTTGGCAAATGGCTGCACATTATTAAATATTGTAATCCATCTTATGCTACACCCTGGGTTTTTCCAGGTCTTGAAGGGCTGGTTATTTACTTTGGCACTTGCTGGGTTTATGAAAATGTAATAAATCACAGGCAAACAATACAGGAATGTGAAACAATTTTGTTTAGAAAGAAGTTCGACATACATACCACGCCCGAACTCATTTCTATCCCTAGTGGCAAAGTTTACACAACCGCACAAGGTACTCATTTGATACTGAGTCGACTTAGGGGAGGGCCCACGACCGATTTAGATAATCGCTATGACTGGTGTTGGCCGTGAGCGGTTAATCGGAACTCGGGTCGCCAGCATGCTAACCACTGCGCCACCGCTCCCCACGCAAAATAACACACACGCTCACAAAACACACACAGACATCATACAGCACGGTCTTTGCGTTTCGCTACGAATGCTCACAGCGCCACCAAGCCAGCTTCCTGCTCAAGTGGCATGACTATAGCTTGCATACACACAGCCCTGTTGTCAATCCACTTGTGGAAGTTATTTGTCCATACTTCACCACGCTGATCTGGACAGGTTGGCGAAGGCGGGCAGCATAGACAAGGAGGAATGCTCTCTCGATTTTCCAATGAAATGAAAAATCTGAAAGTCTCGCGATGACACGTGGCATCAGCAGCAGCGTGAATACATTGATGTGAATTTCATACTAATTTGGATACGATCCAGAAATCCTAAAAATACTTGACTTTGTCCTCCTAAATTCCAATGAATGTTGACATCTGAAATGCATCCCTACCCTGCCATTGTACTGGGTTCAGGCCTCTTCTTGTAAGAGCCAACATTTAAAAAAAAAATCACCTCGTTGGCAGTTTGGCGTCGGTGAAATATTTCTCAACAACAAATCAACAACAACTCAGGACCGATTCGACGGAGACACCGCAGCCCGTACCCAGACCCCTCCGTCCCACGCTGCTCCCAAGTCGACGGGATTTTAGGGGGTTTTTTCATCATTTTGCAAAAAAAACTAACAAAAAAGTCAACACATTCGTCAATAACCCTCACACCCTCAATGTAAATTCTGTATCTAATTAGTCGATAGTTTGGCCAATTGCCTTTCTCTGCAGCTTGGAGAGAAGCCCGACTGAGACTGGTTGAATAATCGTTAGAGACCGCACTTGATACACCGTGGGGCTTGTTCTGAAGTCTGCATCATTTCGACGAAACAGCTATCGTACAAAGCAGTATACGCTTCATACATTTAAAAAGCATACTACTCAATGGCGCTCAAAAGGCCACATTGAGAGACAGTTGGAAATACCACGCCTGCAGTTTCGACATCAACGCAGAGGGAAGGCAGTTTCCACAAAGGCCCCTATTGAAAGCCAGCAACCACCACCATCCCACCTCCTCCACCTCATCTTCGCCGGGTTCACTAGGAGTCAATGCCTGATAAAAAAAGCAGCTGCTGATGTCCTCTGCGTGCGAATAAACACCGCTCCTGCCATCCGGGTTATGGCACCAGGCCCCGTGTTTGCCTGGCACACCCGGGGGGGTCACGGCTCACAATCCTCGCTTCTATCGCTCGCGTGGACCGGACGGGGCCAAATTTGTCCACCGAGTCTCATGCGAAAGGGACAATGCCACTCGCATGCCATCGCCACAACCTGTGCGGAACTCTTTGCTGAAGAGATTAACAATTGTGTCTTCAGGCTCCGGTGATAAGCCACGCCGTGTTGTTGTTGTTGTAATGCGTTTCAACTCGGGTTGAATGGCAAGGAGCCGCGTCACCTCTGTCACTCCACGTCTTTTTGTTTTTTGTCTGTCCTGAACATGGGGTTCACGGTAATTCTCGTGAAGATGAACCGATAGAAATAACGTGCGCAGTTTTAGGGACTCTGCCCTATTGAAAATCGGCCAACGTGATCAAAATGTTGCCCGAAAGACGGCGATAAAAGGAAAAGTGTTGGAAAAGGGGAAAGCCTTTTCCGCCGAGGCGATGACGTCACACCACATGCACGAGCTCGACTTCCAAAGTGACGTCATCGTGACGTCACACATCTCGCCCCCTGTGACGCCATCTTAATCTGTGAAGACGAGTGAGTAGTGAGTAGTGGTGTCGTGCGTATGTATGTTTGTTGAACTTCTTTCGCACTGTACGTAGCCACCTCTCCTCTGCACCCCTCATCAACCCACAATGACCAGCGTGGTGAAGTATGGTCAAAACAACCCCCAGACTCCATTTGGCAAAGAGCTGTGAATTGCATATGGGGCCGTCCATAAATGACGTCACGCGATTTTGGACGATTTTTGACCCCCCCCCCCCTCGTCACACGACGTCACAAAAAGTCAGACTCCCCCTTAAATATGACGTCACAAAGCTCTGCCCCCCCCCCCCCCAATAAAAAATGAAACATGCTTCAAATCGCTTTAAACTATTGTCATTGTAGTGCGTATTTAATGTGGCGCTGAACTCTGATGTTGTAGGAGAAAACATTTATTAAAAAGTCTGTTTAATTAAGTAGAACGTGTTGTCTATATTTATTTAAAGTTGCACATTTTTATGTGACGTCACATTTCTCAACCCCCCCCCCCCCTCGTCACACATCGTCACAAATGTCTGACCCCCCCCCCTCTAGGTGCGTGACGTCATTTATGGACGGCCCCTAACATTGGTCGTGAAAGTCTACATACACAAAAATAAGTAACTTGTCTACTCGAATTCTGTAAGCTTTGCCGTATGAATGCCATTACAAATGGCTCGAGGTATAATGTTTATTCGTGACATATTATAGACACACACAACAATAATAATACTACTACCATATCGATGGGCACACAGAATTTAACACATCTCCCGGTCCTGCCAAGCAAACAGTCTGTTCTTCGGCATACAACACGCGGCAACTTTATAATTTCGCAACAGCTTCTAAATTACACACATTGTATTATTGCTAGAATTAATATTGGCAGTTGATTGTGAGAGCATGAGAGGCAGAATCGCACCATGAGCACAAATATCCCGGTGTGAATCCAATTATTGCACCACTGCCAATGCAGCATTACCAAATAGTATAAATATATTATATATTTGAAGACAAGCAATGTTAGTATCATTGCTTTAGACAGCCTTTTACCGTATCATCTCCCCATGCAGGACGGCACAATGAACTGAATCATTCTCCTTTTTCAATCACTTAACCGGCATACTTTCATCAACGGTCTGCTGCTTACTGGACACTGAGCCCTAAGTGGGTTGTCAATTTTTCACCGAACACTCCTCAACGGCTGCTGGAAATTATTCACTCGACGGGCATCTGGGACTGCTGGTTCGAAAGTGTCACATCATTATAATTTTAATATTTTTTGTTGATAATGCACCGGAACCTCGTATGTCCGTTTATTCGTTAAGTTACTCATCCATGTCTTCATCGCATGAGGCTACCCGCTGCCCTCGCTACACCTTCGTGCTGGCGAGAGAAGATCTGACAGCGGCGCGAGACGATGCGAAAGACCGCTGTGCTGAGGATCTGGCTGTCTGCTGCTGTTGCTGCGGCTGCTGAGGCTGCTGCTGCTGCATCTCAGGCTGAGCGTGGTCCGTAGCTTCGCCCGTGGCGCCGGGCCGGGCTCGCGATGCGCACATCGCGGAGAAGCCCACAAAGGTGGGACACACGGGGAGGTAGCGCAGTGCACGCACGCGGCGCACCGCGGCCATGCCGACGGGGAAGTCGTAGGCGTCGATCTCGGAGCTGGAGCCACTCGCCGCGTGGGCCCCGGCCTTCCACTGCAACAGGCCACGCTCCTCCTGCGTGCCTTGGGAGGGGCGGCAGGAGAGATTCATTCATTTACGAGTTTGCCGTCCCATTCATCGTGTTCGTTCGCTGGCTCGCACGCTCGCTCGCTTGTTCGTTCACAAGGAGAAGCATAAACCGTCACGTGATCTCCGGTCATCCTCGCAGCCGCAGTGGTGGGTTTTGGCTGGCCTTTGAACGAAGACGGTCACCACGTCGCGCGCTTTCAGATGCACTTCTACGGCCGTCTGGAACGCTCTTCCTTCTGATATTAGGAAGCAACTGGAGATATGCACCGTTAAATCATCTAGATTGAGAACTCATTTCTCTAGAACTGCGTTTTATGTTTCGTTTGATGTCCTTCCCCGCACCTCCAATTAGCACGGTGTGCTATTTACGGTGCGAAAGGAGTTCAATATACATACGTTGTTCATTCATTGATTACTTTTGTTCATGTATTATTTAATTCGTTTGTATATTCACGCAACAAATGAGTGAATGCTAGACGGGGGATCGTTGACCTTTGCCATTGTATACACACATGGATAGACGCACGCAACGGAGAATGCACGCGCGCGTGTGTCCAACACACCTGACCGCGCACCTGGGATCGTGTTGTCCAGGACGAATGCGACGCAGCCTCCCACGAACATCTCCGTGGTGAGCAGCACCGTGAGCACCTGGTCCAGCTCCACCACACCTGTGCGGGTGGGGCGGGGGTAGGGGGTAGGGGATGGGCCCCACGTAGGTAAACATCGGCATTCGTCTTTGCTGCACGCGTGTTCTCGCCGTCTCGAGCAGGTGGGTGGGTGACCAGGTTCGGACGCATGGGTCATGACTTAAGTGTAACCGTGGCGTGTTTAAAGGAAGGTGGTCCTCGGCCTGGTTTCAATTTCACTGAGGCTCATCGGTGAGGTGCGGTCTCATAGTTAAATGCCACCGGATGCCGCATATGTCCAACAACATCTGGCCACGTGCGCACACAAAGACAAATATCCTCCGTAAAGCCTTAACAGACTGTTGGGACAAGCACACACACCCGCTCACGGCCAATACCATTGACGACTATCTGAAGCGGCCCTGGGCCTCCCCGAGGTCGACTCATCCCCTAGTGTGGTGTGTATATATCGCCACTGGGGAGACAAAGGCGGTCGGGACTGGTGATGGCCACCCACCCCCCTCGTGTGCCGTGCCGACCTTCACAGGTGCTACCCGCTATCAGCACTTGCCCCAACAGTCTGTTAAGGCTCTACGAGGGCAGTGAGTGGGGGTGTGGGGGAAAGGGGGAATATTTGTCTGTGTGGGCGAGCGTGCGTCACGGCTGGGATGTGGACTCACCGCTCTGCACCGCGTGCTGCTCCACGTAGCTGGGCAGCGTGAGCCCGAAGAACATGGAGAAGCCCAGCACGAAGAGGTTGCGGGAGGAGTTCATGTCCACGAACTGCAGGTTGGACAGCCCCACGGCCGTGATCATGCCTGGTGGGGAGGGGGGGGGGGGTCACAGGGTCACGGGGTCACGTGAGGTGTGTGACTTTATCATCAAAGTCATTACGATAGTCCATGGGGCAGATCATCCGGAGGTGTCCACTGCACATTTCGTTATTTATTTCCACTTTCTCCTGTCATGTGCCAATATTCTCACGCAGTGGCCACATCTTTCTGGCACCAATCCCTTATGCCGTCGTCAAGCCCATTCTCTGGGTTATATCCTAAATTAGTTCATTTGACTAAAGTTGAAGGGCGCAAACTTTTGTGTCCCCCGAACGACAAGCACACAGTCGTGTGCTTGTCGTCGATAGTTTTGGTTTTATGGCCACAAGCACACAGTCGTGTGGCCACAAGCACACAGTCGTGTGGCCACAAGCACACAGTCGTGTGCTTGTGGCCATAAAACCAAAACTATCGACCTCGCAGTAAACCACTGTGCCGTAGTCTGCGCTCATTTTAACGGAGGAGGACGAGCAAATGTGCATGAACTCCCCGCACCTCCGGTGAGCACGGTTAGCTACGTACGGTGCGAAAGAAGTTCAACATACATACAGCTCTCTCATGAAGCCCTCTCGTCGTGGCTAGCACACCGCGACATTGCCACTTAGCTCCTGAAACATATTACCACGCGCAGGGATATAATTAATATGCTGCACACGGGAATACGTTTTGTTTTTGTTTTAACGAACGTGTTCATTTTTATTTGACCTATCAGCTCCGTTGTATTAAAGCGATTTACACTCACTTTAAAACTAATAATAATAACCACAACTACAGGGTGACTTGGAAACCTGGAGTCTCAGAGGGATCTGGGGGTGACGACGTGAAGGTGTTGGCTGGGGAGAGGGGGGGCGCATTTCAGGAGACTGAGTGTTTGGCCAGGTTTGGATGTCAAATCAGCAAAACATCAATGCGTGGGTGTCAAACGCAGGAGTTGCGGCACGGGTGCGCGTGCGTCTTTGTTCCAATGAATGGAACGCCTGCAGTTGTGCCAGCAGCTGAAATATTTGAAAGAAAAAAAAAGAAAGAACGGAGAACAAAACGAGCGCGGACGCAATTAAAGGAAACAAAACTGTCAAGTTTCACGGCCATCCTCAAAACACGTCCCGGGTATTGCGTGCCGTGCGAAATGTCACTCGCATGATGGATGGTCTCTGCCTCTCTCGCCGTGCGAGTGCGGGGTGGGGGGGCAATTCGCTCGACGCTTCCACCGGGCGCCGCGGTGCGCACGCAACAAAGCAACCCCACGGCTAAGTCCACCACCACAAAGCCCACGGTTAATTCCACCACCACCAACTCCACGGGCAAGTCCACCACCACCCCAGGGCTAAGTCCACCACCCCACGGCTAAGTCCACCACCACCCCACGGCTAAGTCCACCACCACCAAGCCCACGGTTAAATTCACGACCACCAACCCCACGGGTAAGTCCACCACCACCACCCCACGGGTAAGTCCACCACCACCCCACGACTAAGTCCAACACCACCAAGCCCACGGTTAAATCCACCACCACCAACCCCACGGGTAAGTCCACCACCACCCCACGGCTAAGTCCACCACCACCCCACGGCTAAGACCACCACCACCAACCCCACGGCTAAGTCAACCACCACCACCACCCCACGGCTAAGTCCACCACCCCACGGCTAAGTCCACCACCACCACCCCACGGCTAAGTCCACCACCACCAACCCCACGGGTAAGTCCACCACCACCACCCCACGGCTAAGTCCACCACCCCACGGCTAAGTCCACCACCACCCCACAGCTAAGTCCACCACCACCCCACGGCTAAGTCCACCACCACATGGTTAAATCAACCACCATCAACCCCACGGCTAAGTCCACCACCACCAACCCCACGGCTAAGTCCACCACCACCAACCCCACGGCTAAGTCCACCACCACCAACCCCACGGCTAAGTCCACCACCACCAACCCCACGGCTAAGTCCACCACCACCAACCCCACGGCTAAGTCCACCACCACCAACCCCACGGCTAAGTCCACCACCACCCCACGGCTAAGTCCACCACCCCACGGCTAAGTCCACCACCCCCACGGCTAAGTCCACCACCACCAAGCCCACGGTTAAGTCCACCACCCCACGGCTAAGTCCACCACCACCCCAGGGCTAAGTCCACCACCCCACGGCTAAGTCCACCACCACCCCACGGCTAAGTCCACCACCACAAAGCCCACGGTTAAATTCACCACCACCAACCCCACGGGTAAGTCCACCACCACCACCCCACGGGTAAGTCCACCACCCCCACCCCACAGCTAAGTCCACCACCACCAAGCCCACAGTTAAATCCACCACCACCAACCGCACGGGTAAGTCCACCACCACCCCACGGCTAAGTCCACCACCACCCCACGGCTAAGTCCACCACCACCAACCCCACGGCTAAGTCAACCACCACCACCAACCCCCCACGGCTAAGTCCACCACCCCACGGCTAAGTCCACCACCACCCCACAGCTAACTCCACCACCACCAACCCCACGGCTAAGTCCACCACCACCAACCCCACGGTTAAGTTCACCACCACCCCACGGCTAAGTCCACCACCACCAACCCCACGGCTAAGTCCACCACCACCACCCCACGGCTAAGTCCACCACCCCACGGCTAAGTCCACCACCCCCACGGCTAAGTCCACCACCACCAAGCCCACGGTTAAGTCCACCACCCCACGGCTAAGTCCACCACCACCCCACGACTAAGTCCACCACCACCAAGCCCACGGTTAAATCCACCACCACCAACCCCACGGGTAAGTCCACCACCACCCCACGGCTAAGTCCACCACCACCCCACGGCTAAGTCCACCACCACCAAGCCCACGGTTAAATCCACCACCACCAACTCCACGGGTATGTCCACCACCACCACCACCCCACTGCTAAGTCCACCACCACCAAGCCCACGGTTAAATCCACCACCACCAACCCCACGGGTAAGTCCACCACCACCCCACGGCTAAGTCCACCACCACCCCACGGCTAAGTCCACCACCACCAACCCCACGGGTATGTCCACCACCACCACCACCACCCCACTGCTAAGTCCACCACCACCAAGCCCACGGTTAAATCCACCACCACCACCCCACGGCTAAGTCCACCACCACCCCACAGCTAAGTCCACCACCACCCCACGGCTAAGTCCACCACCACATGGTTAAATCAACCACCATCAACCCCACGGCTAAGTCCACCACCACCAACCCCACGGCTAAGTCCACCACCACCAACCCCACGGCTAAGTCCACCACCACCAACCCCACGGCTAAGTCCACCACCACCAACCCCACGGCTAAGTCCACCACCACCAACCCCACGGCTAAGTCCACCACCACCAACCCCACGGCTAAGTCCACCACCACCCCACGGCTAAGTCCACCACCCCACGGCTAAGTCCACCACCCCCACGGCTAAGTCCACCACCACCAAGCCCACGGTTAAATCCACCACCACCAACCCCACGGGTAAGTCCACCACCACCCCACGGCTAAGTCCACCACCACCCCACGGCTAAGACCACCACCACCAACCCCACGGCTAAGTCAACCACCACCACCACCCCACGGCTAAGTCCACCACCCCACGGCTAAGTCCACCACCACCACCCCACGGCTAAGTCCACCACCACCAACCCCACGGGTAAGTCCACCACCACCACCCCACGGCTAAGTCCACCACCCCACGGCTAAGTCCACCACCACCCCACAGCTAAGTCCACCACCACCCCACGGCTAAGTCCACCACCACATGGTTAAATCAACCACCATCAACCCCACGGCTAAGTCCACCACCACCAACCCCACGGCTAAGTCCACCACCACCAACCCCACGGCTAAGTCCACCACCACCAACCCCACGGCTAAGTCCACCACCACCAACCCCACGGCTAAGTCCACCACCACCAACCCCACGGCTAAGTCCACCACCACCAACCCCACGGCTAAGTCCACCACCACCCCACGGCTAAGTCCACCACCCCACGGCTAAGTCCACCACCCCCACGGCTAAGTCCACCACCACCAAGCCCACGGTTAAGTCCACCACCCCACGGCTAAGTCCACCACCACCACACGGCTAAGTCCACCACCCCACGGCTAAGTCCACCACCACCCCACGGCTAAGTCCACCACCACAAAGCCCACGGTTAAATTCACCACCACCAACCCCACGGGTAAGTCCACCACCACCACCCCACGGGTAAGTCCACCACCCCCACCCCACAGCTAAGTCCACCACCACCAAGCCCACCGTTAAATCCACCACCACCAACCGCACGGGTAAGTCCACCACCACCCCACGGCTAAGTCCACCACCACCCCACGGCTAAGTCCACCACCACCAACCCCACGGCTAAGTCAACCACCACCACCACCACCCCACGGCTAAGTCCACCACCCCACGGCTAAGTCCACCACCACCCCACAGCTAACTCCACCACCACCAACCCCACGGCTAAGTCCACCACCACCAACCCCACGGCTAAGTTCACCACCACCCCACGGCTAAGTCCACCACCACCAACCCCACGGCTAAGTCCACCACCACCACCCCACGGCTAAGTCCACCACCCCACGGCTAAGTCCACCACCCCCACGGCTAAGTCCACCACCACCAAGCCCACGGTTAAGTCCACCACCCCACGGCTAAGTCCACCACCACCCCACGACTAAGTCCACCACCACCAAGCCCACGGTTAAATCCACCACCACCAACCCCACGGGTAAGTCCACCACCACCCCACGGCTAAGTCCACCACCACCCCACGGCTAAGTCCACCACCACCAAGCCCACGGTTAAATCCACCACCACCAACTCCACGGGTATGTCCACCACCACCACCACCCCACTGCTAAGTCCACCACCACCAAGCCCACGGTTAAATCCACCACCACCAACCCCACGGGTAAGTCCACCACCACCCCACGGCTAAGTCCACCACCACCCCACGGCTAAGTCCACCACCACCAACCCCACGGGTATGTCCACCACCACCACCACCACCCCACTGCTAAGTCCACCACCACCAAGCCCACGGTTAAATCCACCACCACCACCCCACGGCTAAGTCCACCACCACCCCACAGCTAAGTCCACCACCACCCCACGGCTAAGTCCACCACCACATGGTTAAATCAACCACCATCAACCCCACGGCTAAGTCCACCACCACCAACCCCACGGCTAAGTCCACCACCACCAACCCCACGGCTAAGTCCACCACCACCAACCCCACGGCTAAGTCCACCACCACCAACCCCACGGCTAAGTCCACCACCACCAACCCCACGGCTAAGTCCACCACCACCAACCCCACGGCTAAGTCCACCACCACCCCACGGCTAAGTCCACCACCCCACGGCTAAGTCCACCACCCCCACGGCTAAGTCCACCACCACCAAGCCCACGGTTAAGTCCACCACCCCACGGCTAAGTCCACCACCACCCCAGGGCTAAGTCCACCACCCCACGGCTAAGTCCACCACCACCCCACGGCTAAGTCCACCACCACAAAGCCCACGGTTAAATTCACCACCACCAACCCCACGGGTAAGTCCACCACCACCACCCCACGGGTAAGTCCACCACCCCCACCCCACGGCTAAGTCCACCACCACCAAGCCCACAGTTAAATCCACCACCACCACCAACCGCACGGGTAAGTCCACCACCACCCCACGGCTAAGTCCACCACCACCCCACGGCTAAGTCCACCACCACCAACCCCACGGCTAAGTCAACCACCACCACCACCACCCCACGGCTAAGTCCACCACCCCACGGCTAAGTCCACCACCACCCCACAGCTAAGTCCACCACCACCAACCCCACGGCTAAGTCCACCACCACCAACCCCACGGCTAAGTTCATCACCACCCCACGGCTAAGTCCACCACCACCAACCCCACGGCTAAGTCCACCACCACCACCCCACGGCTAAGTCCACCACCCCACGGCTAAGTCCACCACCCCCACGGCTAAGTCCACCACCACCAAGCCCACGGTTAAGTCCACCACCCCACGGCTAAGTCCACCACCACCCCACGACTAAGTCCACCACCACCAAGCCCACGGTTAAATCCACCACCACCAACCCCACGGGTAAGTCCACCACCACCCCACGGCTAAGTCCACCACCACCCCACGGCTAAGTCCACCACCACCAAGCCCACGGTTAAATCCACCACCACCAACTCCACGGGTATGTCCACCACCACCACCACCACCCCACTGCTAAGTCCACCACCACCAAGCCCACGGTTAAATCCACCACCACCAACCCCACGGGTAAGTCCACCACCACCCCACGGCTAAGTCCACCACCACCAAGCCCACGGTTAAATCCACCACCACCAACCCCACGGGTAAGTCCACCACCCCACGGCGGATACCACCACCACCCCACCGCTAAGTCCACCACCAATAAGCCCACGGCTAAGTCCACCACCACCACCAACCCCACGGCGGAGTCCACCACCACCCCACGGCTAAGTCCACCACCACCAAGCCCACGGCTAAGTCCACCACCACCAACCCCACGGCTAAGTCCACCACCACCACCCCCGGCTAAGTCCACCACCCAACCCCACGGGTAAGTCCACCACCCCACGGCTAAGTCCACCAACCCCACGGCTAAGTCCACCACCACCACCCCACGGCTGAGTCCACCAACCCCACGGCTAAGTCCACCACCACCACCCCACGGCTAAGTCCACCACCACACGGTTAAATCCACCACCACCAACCCCACGGCTAAGTCCACCACCACCAACCCCACGGCTAAGTCCACCACCACCAACCCCACGGCTAAGTCCACCACCACCAACCCCACGGCTAAGTCCACCACCACCAACCCCACGGCTAAGTCCACCACCACCAACCCCACGGCTAAGTCCACCACCACCAACCCCACGGCTAAGTCCACCACCACCAACCCCACGGCTAAGTCCACCACCACCAACCCCACGGCTAAGTCCACCACCACCAACCCCACGGCTAAGTCCACCACCACCAACCCCACGGCTAAGTCCACCACCACCCCACCGTTAAATCCACCACCACTGCACTACTGCTCCCCACATATACACAGAGATGAAGATGACCCGTATGGTTTTAACAGAGTGTTGGGGCAAGTGCTGTTAGCGAGTAGCACTTGTGAATGCCGGCTCGGCACACGAGTTAGTTGGCCAGAACGACGCCCGACCGCTTTTGTCTCCCCAGTGCTGATATTTACACACCGTACCGGGTACTCATTTAAGGCTGAGTCGACCTATGGTCGGCCAGGTTCGGTTCAGATATTCGTCACCGATGTTGGCCGTGAGTGGGAATGTGAATCGGGTCACCGGGTTCGTAGCGCAGTGCGCTAACCACTACACCACCGCTCCCCATCAACAACACACATTGCACCCACACACGGCTGCGTACACACATATACACACGACGGAGTTCACACAACGTGTTGAGGCACATCTACACATGGCACAACTTCACAATGCCCTCTCTGTTGCCCTCCACGCATTCCTCTACGGCCTGTACGCCCAGCGTTGGAGCTGCTTTGGGTCACTAAGTCACCTCTTAAGGGCCCCAAGGGACAGTTTCCGTGCTCACTCAAACAAATCCAGCCAAGTGGCATCACAACCCCGACAAAACCCCCCTCCAAGCCACAAGTACAACCAATAAATCACCGAATCTGAGTTAGCGCAGACCTATGCAGCGCACGAGCGAGTCGTGTTTTCGCGTGTTTTTGCCTTTGAACGGTCGTTGCTGAATGTATGCCTTAACGTGATGAGTGGTGGTGGTGGTGGGGGTTTGTTGTTGTGACACAAAGCAGTCTCACAGGCCGCCGGTCCTGGGTGTTTCTCCCGCTGTAGGAGTTACGAGACTGGTGATCGGCCGAATGTGTCCGCTTGGCGCGATCATAATACCGATGATGATTGTGGTGATCAAAACGGCGCTGATGTTTGATGGTGAGAGAATGGTGATAATGCTATGACGCCTATGATGGGGCAAGTGCTGATGGTGAGCACCTTCGAAGGCCGCTTGAGGCGCACGAGGCGGTGAGCTCTACGCCCGGCCGCCGTCATTTTGCCGGTGCTGAATTTGTACGCACTGTCGAAGGTATTCATTTGAGGCTGGGTCGACCTAGGGGAGGTCCAGGCACTGTTCAGATATTCGCCACTGACGATGGCCACGGGCGGGAATCGAACTTGGGTCTCCTGATTCGTAGTGCGGTGCGCTAACCACTACCCTCCCCCCACACTACTGACACACGCATTGTGTAATCGTTGTGCCGCGGTGCATCAGCGAGGATGCCATGGCAAGGGGTCAACCAGGTGACCCCTGATATGCGTGTGTAAATCTCCACACCTGCGCAGGTATACGGAGAGGAGGAGAGGAGGGGGGGCAGCGGGGATGGGGGGGGGGGCTCCCCTTTTCTCGTAGGGATCCAGGAGGGAAACGCAGGCGTGCGGCTCTCAACAAAAGCCGAAGGCGCGCGCCAGTAACGCTGATGCCCCGCCGCTAAAATCGGTGTCTGCAAAATATTGTCACTGAGGATGAGGGCCTGGACGACGATGACGATGATGATAATGGACTGTGGGCCGTGTGTTGGTGCAAGGTGTGTGTAATTGGTGTTAGTGTAAGGTGTGTGTAATTGGTGTTGGTGCAAGGTGTGTGTAATTGGTGTTGGTGTAAGGTGTGTGTAATTGGTGTTGGTGCAAGGTGTGTGTAATTGGTGTTAGTGTAAGGTGTGTGTAATTGGTGTTGGTGCAAGGTGTGTGTAATTGAGGTGGGAGGTCGACGAGTGGTTAGGTCAATGCACTACTGGTTTAGTGACCTGAGCTTGTTGTTGTAACTCGCTAACCCGCTGGACATGACAAGCCACTTCGTTGAGCTATCATTTGTGGCCAGGCCACTTCTGAATAAGAGCTATATAGCTCGGTGGGGCTTACCTGGTGAAATAAATCGTTGTTCATAGTTTGGTTTTCGTGCCATTACCAGCGGACACCTCGCCATGCTTCTTTGCACACTTCTAGACCGTTGCACGCGAGATCAAACGAGGCGACGATGCCCCGAGTGCGGATAATGTGTCCAGACGGCCAGGTCAATTAAGGACGGGAGCCAGGTCAACCCAGGCCCTGCGCAACCGACCGTGCACCGGGTTAACGTGGTGGGGCACTGTTGTGATTGCCACGTGAGAATGGATGCGTCTGGTCTACGCTGAACAGAAAGCAGTACCGTGTTCTTGTCTGCGTCATTGATAAACATTTAGGGTTCAGGGGCCGACTCGAGATGCCTCGAGTGTTCTCTGGGGTCAGAGAATCTGAGCCGGCACCCCCTGAGGGTTTTAAATCTTGGTTTCCTCTGCCATTGAATAAACCGGGCTCTCAAGTGTCGTGAGTTGTTGGTGTCAGTCAAGTGAACAATGAATGGACCCAGACTAACCTGTTAGAATGAATTCACTGTTTGGCTGAATACGGCAAACAAATTCCAGCTCTTGAGCTTGATCAAGTGTCAGCGTGTGGCTGCCACGTGACGCACATATCTGCTGCAGAGAATGCGGGAATGCGAATTCGAACCTTGGACTCTCAACGACACCGACTCAGCATCTCAGATGCTGCCATCATGAACCCCCTCCGCTCGTCCCTTACCAAAGAGGGTGCAGAAGAGGGCGCCGAGGATGGGGTCGGGCAGCGAGGCGAAGAGCGCCGTGAATTTGCCCACGGTGCCCAGCAGCAGCATGATGCCCGCCCCGTACTGAACGACGCGCCGGCTGCCCACCTGCGGACAACGACGGGGCCACGGCGGAGCAATGTGGAGTGAGACAACGCGTCCGCTCCGTTCGCTTTCTCGTAGCCACGGGCACAGTTGGAGTACGGTGTAGGGGCCGTGGTCCTTCACTCATTTTCAGAGGGGAGGGCGAGGGGGACGGTGGGGGCACTTTCCCCGATAAAACGTCATCAGAGGGCCGCCACACATTTGAAACCATTGGGGGTTTGACAGCAGCACGATGATGATGGGCTTCTTTTTATCCCATTTGTGTATTGTCAGGGGCCGCACAAAAGGCCACTGTCCTGTTTGTTATATTCTGAACTTCCAGGTCATTCACCCGATTCTGCCGTTACATTCTCAGCATCCTTCGCACGAACCAGGTCTCAAAAATGCCAGCAGAAGATTCCCGTCTCGTTGGAATGTTCGAGTCCAGCTGTCTAAGACCGATCCTTAGAGGAGGAGGGGGGCGGAGAGCAAGCATCACGTGAATTGTCGCTTGACTGTTTGTGATGATGTGCACACGAGGCCAGGCTTTTAAGAACGTTTAAATAAATTGGGTTTTACAAAAAAATATGGATGGTGACATGTTCCACCCCGCGTTTGTATTCCCCCCCCACTGAGTGAATGTGACAAATGAGTGTACTTTTGAAGTGATGCCCAGCAGTCAAGACAATTGATCGGATGTTTAAATGAACTGCGTCAACGCACGAGATGTGACCTCGGAATACTTGATAACTCACTTAGAATTGTTTATTTATATGTATGATAACCCATGCCAGCTCCATGGGATAATTCCATTGTAAGGTCATCAAAGGTGGTTGTGGCTTGGGGAAAGTCTTAATCCAGCAGTGGATGGACCACGACCGACTACGATGGACTTCGCTTGAACACTTTGCAGTCCACGTTTCATTGCACATGGTCTTTGTTTCCTTCCTTCGTCTCCCCACAGACAGCTGCACAATGAAGACAAAACATTCACGAAACATTCACTCTTTTTTCCTCCACTTAAATCTGCCTACTCTGAACAAACGTCTACATTACGGACGGGAAATAAAAACTCAACACGTTCGCCAATAACGCTGCTGCCTTCAAAGGAAACGCATAGAATAGGCAACGTTTCGGGGCAATGGCCTTTCTTCATAGCGCATGAAGATCTATTGCCTGAAACGCCATATGTTATATCTGTTGAGGCCACAGTGTTATCGACGAATGTGTATTTGCGTTGTTAACTGTGCTTGTGCACCACGGCCAACGCAGAAGCAGCAGCACCACCAAATGCTTTTTTTTCACTTTCTAGACGTTGAGATCTGTGGGCTATCATCAAGTTGTTTTTTTGGTCCGGGCCAACGTCCTCAAATGACCTCCTAGTTTTGCGATGTCGCATGGACCAGACCTCTCTTGAATGTGGTAAATTCACGCACGGGCCGCTCACGCCCTCTGACGGGCAGAGTTAAGATCGGAGTTGATGTTCGAAGCTGGGAGGGAGGCTCGGGTCGAGAGTTAGGGCTCGAGGTAGAGGCCTGGGTTAGGATTAAGTGAGGCTGAGTGGGATTAGGGTAAGAGCTTGGGTTTGGCTACGCTTAGGGGTTAGAGGTAGAGTTTAGGATTAGGGTTGAGAGTTAGGAATTAAGCTGAGTGTTTCGAGTTCAGGGTTATGGTTGAAGATTATTGTTCAGGGTTAGAGTTCAGGGTTAGAGTTCAGAGATTGAGTTCAGGTTTAGAGTTCAGAGATTGAGTTCAGAGTTAAGGTTCAGGGTTAGAGTTTATGGATTGATTCAAGGTTAGGGTTTAGGGTGTGAGTCGGGGTGTTGTATTTTGGGCTTGAGTTCAGCGTTTTGGGTTAGAGTTCAGGTTGAGGGTCTATAGTGGATCCTGGTCCTACCTTGGTGATTCCCAGGACGCCAATATTTGGACTAGAAGACGTGGATCCGTTCCCAGTCCCGAATAATCCGGCGATGATGCACGACAATCCTTCCATGAAGATCCCTCTGCCCAGACCGCAGGCACACACACACACACACGTCGATGTGTCAAATGCCCACTCACAGCAGCAAGACACGACAAGCCGTTGTGCCAGGCTAGGTGCCGTGTGGTGTGCAAAACAACATCCCCACGCGTTTAGAGGATTTGGCTGCCGCTCTAAATTTCCCCGTGACGTTAAACCACTTGGTTGAGCTATCATTTGATGGCCAGGTTGCTTCTGGAAAAAAACAGCTACAAAACTCAAGTGGGTCTTACCTGGTGAAATAAAAAAAAAGTTTATATATGTTTAATAGATTAATTTTAGTTCTCCGATGAGAGGATGATCCTGTCAACATCATCCACAACACGACAGCCGTCTCTTTCAGCGTGCTTCAAAAAAATGCGATTATCATTTTTAATGAAAAAAATAACGAATACACTGTAACTTGACAACAAATGTAATGTTAATAGCGTCAAAAAGTCAAAGAGTCTCTCCACTTGTTCGCCATCATTGTCAACGCGTGCCTGGGACCTTTTCCCAGTGGTCCACAGAGCCGGGAGGAGGCACATTTCTTCGTGGTATTGTTGAAAATTTCTCAGAAATGTTCAACATGTCTTTTTTTTAAGCACCCTGCAGTATTCCGCAGCAGAGCCACCACCCACGGGGTTCCCGTGCTCGCCGTACCTGTTGATCGCGTGCACCGGTGGGGCCGGAGCCCCGCAGAGACGCGCGCACGCGTAGTAGTCACCGATGGACTCGATGATGCCCGCCAGCACCGCGCTGAACATCCCCACCACGCCGGCCACCGTCACCACGGGCAACCCCCACTGGCCTGCGCGCACCGCGGGAGATCCGTGCGCGTGTGTTCGTGCATGTGTGTGTGCGTGTGTGTGTGCGTGTGTGTGTGCGCGTGTGTGTGTGTGCACGTGTGTGTGCGCGTGTGTGTGTGCGTGCGTGTGTGCCCGTGTGTGTGTGTGCGTGTGTGTGTGCGTGTGTGTGCGCGTGTGCGTGTGTTCGCGCGTGTGTGTGTGCGTGTTGGGGGAGGTGGGGGTTAATCTGTGAGCGGTAGCGCAGTAGATTTTGCACTGCGCTACGAATCTACTTTGACCCACATTCCATCCCCCTTCGCGGCTAACATCACACCCCCCCCCCTCCCCTGGTCCTCCTACCTAGGTCGACTCAGCCTTAAACGAGTACCTGGTGTTGTGTGTGTAAACGTCGGCGCATGGAAGACAAAATGCGGCCGGTTGTGCCGCGCTTACCACACCATCCTCCCATGCACAGCACTTGGCCCAGCAGTCTGCTAAGAGGCTATATGGGGGGTCTTTGTCTTTGTTACGTGTGGGTGTGTGGGGACGCACATGGGTAGGCGATCCTGAACCAGGGCGCCCTGCTCATGATGTCTCCGCGCGCGTCCGTGCGTGCGTGGAATCCGTACTCCCCTTCCCGCTCCGGGAAGACTCCGCTGAGCGTGAGCACGTGGCAGATGAGCCAGGACAGCACGATGGCCATGATGATCTACGCACGGGGCGAGGGAGCGGGGTGTGTGGGGGGGGACATCGCTACACGTGGTGGCGATTCCCTGCAGCCGCAAGAGGCCGGTTGCATTCACCACGGTTGGCGATGCAAACAGAATTGGGCTTTGCCCTTTCCGGCAATCATCCAGGAGGCGTTAAGATGTTCAAACGCCAAATAAGACACCTATTGCAAATGCATCAAGCCTGCAATAACCACACATGATTCTGGTAAAACTTGCATATAAACATGCTTTGATAATAGTCCCATATATATTCACCACGATTGTTAATACAATGATATACTTTTTTTATTTGAGTCATGACCCTGGCTAGCGGCAATTCAATGAATCACATGGGTGGGGGGAAGGGTGATTCTGGAGGGAATGGATTTCATTTATTTACAGCCAGTTAACCACCGTGTGCCAACAGTTGAGCACTGGTGGGGCGCAGTGGTTAGTGCACTGCGCAATGAGCCCAGCCACGCGAGTTCAATTCCCTGCCACGACCAAGCATCACCGCGCGGCTGGCTTGAAGTGGGATTTGTTGGGGTAAGGCACTACCACTTGAGTACAAGGTACGCATGTATATAATAGTCTTACGAGGACAAAATCACTGTCATGAAGGGACAACATAGCGAGATGGATGTGGCCTCCGAAATAACCTCCGGATATTCCCCGCAGCTGCGTTCCGGACTGTGCCAGCTGAAATCGAGTACTTGTGAGTGATTTCCAAATCGCTCCTGCATCTCAACCCCTCCACCCCCTTACACTGACCAGCACGGTGAAGTATGATCAACTAATCCACCGTAATCCAGCTGCAACAGCGGAAGGAGGGAAGCTCCACAACTCACGGGAAACATCTTGAAGATTTGGAAGCGTTTGGAGGAGCATCCCTGACCGCGGCGATACACGGGCACGGGTACGGAGGTGTTGCGCAGGTACTGCGAGAAGAGGATGATGAGCAGGATGGCCCTGCAGGTGAGACGACGGCTCGGCACAGGTGTGGCGGGGGGGGGGTGTGGGGACAGATATCTCAGACATCGATGTATAAACTGGTGTTGGTACTGGACATCTGTGAAAAGGAGCTTTATAGCTCATCAGATTCCTCCAGTATAAATACAGATTCTGCTTCTCAATTGCGTCTCAGCCTGTGCCAGGCTTGGGCAAGGTCATAGCCCCACTACTTCTCACGAAGGCAATCGGAGAGCACAGACTATATGTACATACAGAGATATTGGTTGACTTATCAAGTAGGTGGCACGTGACTTGTAGCACAGCCCAAGTTAAGCCCCGGCGACTGCGCCACGCCGCTGCTGCTGCAAGCTGTGGCCGAAGGTGAAACATGAAACGTGATGAGCGCACCTCCGTTTAGCGCGGGTGGGCTACGCACGGCGCGAAAGAAGAAGTTTAACATGCATATTCACCAGCGGCAATTCAATGAAAAGGGGGCCGTGGATAGAGAGAGAGAGTTACTGGATAGCGTGATCAAGGTAACGGCTCTGAATATGGTCAGGACTGGTTGGCTAGCGTAGTGATGGTTACCGGGAAGGGTCTGCCTATCGAGTCGTGCTTGCTTGTGTGGTAAAGGATATGGTCTGGCTGACTAGTAAAGTGAGAGTTGTGTTTAGGATCTGCTTGGCTATTGTGTTTACGGTTAGGGCTAGCTTCTGGCGGTCGAGTATGATTAGACGTACGCCGAGCATCTGCTTGGTTCGTATTGGATCGAGTTAGGTGGCAAGGGATCCGGTCTGACTGGCGAGTGTGGTGAGAATTCGTGCCGAGTCTCTCTCCCTCCTGCTCTGTGTATCCCCCCCCACCACCCCATCGTCCCGTGCACTGCGCCCACATGGCCGAGATGCCCCAGTGCCGCCCGGCGCGGTCTCCCGCCGCTTGGAAGACGGAGAGGCCGATGAGCGAGACGGTCGGCGTGACGGTGAGCGGACCGATGTAGCTCAGCATGGCCCCGGGCAGCCCAGCGAACCCGATGAACACCTCCACGAGGCACGACACGATGATGGAGCCCTGGATCTGAGTGGCGACGATTGCCGTGATGGTGGTGGTTGTGGTGGTTGTGTGGACGGTGGCGGTTGTGGTGGTTCGTTGGATGGGGGGGGGGGAAGGAGTGAGAAGAGGTAGAACTCATGTTACATATATATATCTGTACCCGTGTGTATGTGTCTCTCGTGAAGGACGTTGCTGGGCAGTGTGGGCAGTCGCGCTCCAATAACAGCGGAGGGTAGAAGAGCGACGCTCACCACAACGAGCGGAGCGCCGGGCGGCTGAAACACAGCAAGTTGACGCAGTGTGGACAAAAGGTCGTGTATCTGCCAGTCATCTCGTTCAGTCGACCCATTACACCTAGGTCTGTTCCGTGACCTCCTGTCACGTGGTCTCGAGGTGCACCTAGCTTGGCACAGGCGCCGTGGTAACGTTTCCGCCAGTCAGTGGCGAACGGCGACTGTTGTGTTGTTGTTGTTGCTGTTGTTGTGCGCCTCTCGTCACCTCTCTGATGCGTGGGTGCCACGTGTCCGACGTATCCAGAATCCCGTTCGTCCCGTTGGGGTAGATCGTCGCTGCAAACGGCACACGGCAATGCACGGCGCACCTACCATCAGGAGACGCGGGTGAATTGTGAAGGCTAAGTTGGGCTTACCGGCCTTAAACTACTGAAACGAAATGATGTCTATTTATTGTTTCATTTCACCAGGTAAGGCCCCACGAGCTATGTCGCTCTTTTTGAGAAGCGACCTGGCCACGAATGATCGCCCTGCGAAGTGGCTTTCTCGCGTGCAAATTTATGGAGGGAAAAACCGGAGGACCCGGAGAAAAATCCAGGCCACCACAGAGAGAGAGAGACTCCAAATATACAGCAGCAGCAGGTGTCAGGGTTGTGATCGAACCCACGACCTCCTGTACACCAAGCGAGGTAGATTAACATATCATAGCCACCATGGCGCCCTAACACAAGCTCGCTAACAGCACCTGACGCTGTCCACGTGACCAATGGTGATGGTGATACCGCCACCCCTCACCGTGGCTTCCGTCCATCCACCAAATCCCCCCTTCCAAAAGGTAAAACCAAACCCCTAATGGTGAACAGGAAAACAAGGATGACAATGTGCATGTGTTCCATATGTTTTCAGATAAACACTTATATGGCACGGCGAACGAGTTCCAAGGGGAAATGAGCGGCACGTTTATTTTGCAATGCGGTGAATTCACTCAAATGGCACGACTGGACTTTGGCTGGGAACGAGCGGAGTCATTCCTCCTGCTCGATAACGCCGGGCTGGGGAACTGTCTCCCTACCTGGGAGCCAACCAGGACCCCCAATGCAGAGGGGTCACGGAGCACGCTCAGACAACGAAAAGCACGCTCTTGTCCGGTTGAGAAAATTCCCCTTCGTTGGTCAATCAGTTCTGCCGAGTTCAAGTTTATTTTGTTTAACCAAGCGAAAATGCACGAGAGATAGGGAGTGTCATTTGCAAGAGCGACCTGGGGCATCAGTCTGCCGGTAGGGTGGCGATGATTTCTGCTGCTGCTGTGTGCGTAACCCCAATTGAGTTCATTTGCGGTTACGTTTTCGAATTTGGAAAATGTGAAACGTGACGCCGCTGAATGACGTCAGGGGGAGATCTTTATTGGCCACTGTGAAGCAGACGGCGGGGTAGCATCGTCATGGTTCATTCATCCGCGGTTATAATCGGGGTGGCCGCTGGATTTGAACCGTGACGCTCTGTGACGTGCGGCGAACTCGCTAACGCCGGGCCGCATCACCGCACCTTAGATGGTTGCATCGATGAGTAAATATCATTTGCGAGCCATTTCCAAATGGTAGGCCACGATTAGCACGGTTGGCTACGTGCGGTGCGACAGAAGTTCAACGTCCATGCAGACATGCGGCTGCAGGCTGTATGGAGCGAAGCCGCGAGCTGCACCTGGCCCACAGGGGATTTTGCCTTAACACTGAATGAGTCGGCGTGGGTGCGTGGGTGCACCCAGTGAAACGCACATGCGTCCGGGCACTTCCACTTGTCCAGGGCGAGGATGGCACGGGCTGGCACGAGGAAGGCAAAGGCGCTCGCCTGAAACAAGGGCAGCCTTGGAGCAACACGGGGTCGGAGTTAGAGTTAGGGTTGGGGTTACTTTTTGAAGACATGGGTTAGCTGTCTCTTAGAATACTGTATACGGGCACATGTGTGATAATTGCATGATTTATCGGGTGCATGCGGATGCGATGACCATGTTGATGGTAACAGTGATGATGATGATGGCGACAATGATGGATATAATGACAGCCACGAGATGTGGTGTGCAGGGTGCGTGAATATTTTGTGGGTCAAGGACCCGGACAGATCCGCGTGAATTTAAACCCCACCGATAATATGACGGGAACTGAACGGAGGATCTCTCATGGTGCTGGCTGGAAAAAAAACACTTGTGCGCCCACCTGCACCCGAAGGTGGTCTGCAGGAGCGTGGTGATGCCCACCACGGTGAAGATGGTGCCGATGAGCTGGCTGATGGCCACCTGATCCTTGCCCACGCACATGGCTTCGGCCAGGAGGAAGGGAACCGCGATGGTTCCGCTGAAGCAGGTGAGGTAGTGCTGTCGTGCAGAGATGTGATCGTCGTCGTCATCATCGTCGTCGTTTATCGTCGTCGTTTATCGTCGTGATCGTCGTCATTCTGGATGACCCTCACCTCTTCCAAGACTTCTGGCCAGCATTGGAACAGCAGGACGATTTCCCTCTAGATCGGGTCTCTTGGACTCGTTACAGCGGAGGACCTTCTCCCAGCAAGGGGATGAGCTAAGCAATTGCAAGGCTGCACCTTTACTATTTTGTTTCCTTCCTACTGGACATCTGTGAAAAAAGAGCTTCATAGCTCATCGGATTCCCCCAGTCTAGATAAACATTCGGGTGGTACTGATAGCCCTGGATACCCCCAGCCAAAGAAGTGACTCCAGCACGACATCATTTAACCAATCAACTATCGCTGACATGTGATTGCATTCAATGCCGCTGTCTTGCAGGTTGTATGTGTGCCTGCATCATGCCCATTTGCCAAATCAGAAAAGAAATCAACAGCGACATTGCAGCACAGAGACAACTGCCGTCAGGGATGAGTGGGTACATGGGTGAGTGGTGTTGTGACCTGCAGTGTGGTAAGTGGGTGGGTGAGTGAGTGAATGGGTGAGTGGTGTTGTGACCTGCAGTGTGGTGGTTGAACAGAGTGTGGATAAGTCGAAGCAGGTGGTGTAGTAGACGGACTCCTTAACATGGGTGGAGGAATCAACAACTGAGGTTCAGGGGAACAGTAACAATGGCAGTAGCGATAGAAGAGTAACAAGAAATCCACTCCCCGCTGGCGAGCGAGTGACTGGAGTGAATGGGTGAATGCTGGAATTGTCAATCAACCCGCATGCTTTACGTTGTTGAATCCATGTGTTCTAGAAGAACTGAGACCGGCCACACACTCACCTGGAAGCCCAGGAGGAGACAAAGGTACCACGGCGGGACGTCCTCAATCTTGTAGATCATGTCAAAGCTGCTCTGTTGGCTGCGTGCTACGGTCTCGCATACCCTGCAGGGACGCTGAGCGACACACCTCCATCATCATCATCATCGCCATCACATTAATCAAAATCCCATTTATTGATAGTAAATTTGCATTTGATACGAGGGATACTGCCGTGGTGTATTTGGTAATCACGCTGGAGTTGCAATCAAGTTGCTCGGCGGTTCGATTCCATCTCGTGGTGGTGACGACGCTGCACGTGGCTGTCTGTATTCCAGCACCGTGGAGGCAGCGGGGGTTGGTGAATCACCACGCACAAACGGGGTGAAACACCCTTCCCGTGGGCATTGAGGAGGTACCGCACCCTGACTCGCCAGGAGAAGGCGGTACGGCTAATGGACTAATCGCCATTTGGTTTAATCTGTACGGCGGTAGAGTGTTGGCCCCCTCGCACAATGCGTGGATTTTCTCCGAGTGCTCCGGTTTCCACCTCCCGCGCGCATAACAAACACGACTCATCGTAAATTTACAAATAAATAAATAAACACCCAAGTGTAGCGACAGGACCCGCCTGGAAAAACAAAAGAGTCATAAGACTCGGCGTGGCTCTCCTGGACAGACGAGTAAAGCATTGATGGGCGTCCCTGGCACGTGGTGAGAATAACAACGACGAACAACATCGCGGGACAATGATGACTCACGTCCTCTTCGGCTGGCGACTCCAGCGGACTCCCCGAGTCTCCCGCGACTGGCCATCCTCCGTTCACGTACGAGTGTTGCTGCGACCCATGCAGACATTGGCGATGCAATTAAAACAACAAGTAGCAGCAGCAGCATTTCTCTTGTAGTTACCCAACTAAACTAAAAACGAAACTATGTTTATTTTTTTTTACCTGACCAGGTAAGACCCACTGAGCTATGTAACTGCTTTTTTTCAGTAGCGACCTGGCCACAAACGATAGCTCAACGAAGTGGCTTACCACGTGGAAATTGCTAGCAGCCAAATAATCTAAACGCGTGACGTTGATTCTAAATGTGGAGGGAAAACCCCGAGGAATCGGAGATAAATCCACGCGACCACGGGGAGAGAGACACGCAAGATCCAAATTACAGAAGGCATCAAGGTCGGGATCGAACCCATGACCTCCTACATACCAGGCGAGGTAGTTAACATTTCAGGAGATTCTCACTCAAGTCCCGATTTGTCGAAATTTGACCAACTCCCGCCGAAAGGACGTTCACCACACAATTAGAACCTCCGATTATCACGGTTGGCTACGTACGGTGCGAAGGAAGTTCAACACACGCACATTCATGCAAGAGATGGAGCGATGAAATAATCTCGCGTGCAGAAGTGAGATCGGATCGTTGCATCGCGTGACTGTGAGAGATAGCGACGGATTTGGAAACATTCCTTCATCCAGCAGTGGATATACCGTGGCCACTGATGACGACGCCAATGATGGTGATGATGATGACGATAACGATGACAAACACGCAATATTGAATACAGCGAAGGCTCCTTACTTTCAACCCTCCTTCCCCTCTCTCCGGGTCTGGCAGCCCGTTGCTGCTCGCTTGCAGATCCGTCGCTTGCAGATCCGTCGATGCCATCGCCGTCTCCTTCCAGGTTCCGTTGTTGTCTCTAAATCCCGAGCGGAGAGGAATCTGCGACTCCCCCCCCCCCCGCGAGACATCAGTACCCCCCCCCTCTCCTCTCCATCGTAGAGTTGACGTCGCCCTTTGAGCCCCGCTCCTCTCATTCGCGTGCGTCACTCGATCACTCATTAATCGGCGATCTTCGCTGTCTTACAAACCTGTCCAATATCAGCAGCAAACGGGGGGGGGGGATGATTACGCCGAGTCGATAAACGGGCAATGAGTAACTCGAACGATTTGCCGGCAACTCGAGAATTGGTGACTAAACGTTTGAGTCGTGATTTTCCTGAATGCAAGACGCCAGCAAGTTGCAGGATGGGATTAGTGTGCCTCTCCTATTCAGGGGGGGGGGGGGGAAGGCGACTTATAATGATTAACACAAGGGAGAGCATCATGCAGGCATCGTGTTTAGTGTTCATACGACAACTGGATGCAGCCGCATCACGCGATCACTGCGCAAATCTGCGACACACGGAGGCGCATATCTACTACCTCGTAAAAATCGCACTTGGCTACGTACGGTGCGAACAAAGTTCAACGAACATGCATACAAACGTGCGTGCATTGTGTTCCGTTGAACGTGGGAGGGGAAATCGGAGCACCTGGAGGTAACGCACGCGTGCGAGGTGGGGGAGGGGAAGGCACCACCATCACGTGCACCCAGATGGAACAGATGGAGATTAGTCGAAGCTTATTGAGCCAGGGCATGGCACCACGTTGACGCCCACGGATAAAGGAGTTGCGTCAACATTTGTGCATCTCCACCGCCCAGGTGCAAGTTCGTGACCTACTGCTCTGTGCGTTGAAAGGGGGCCCCAAAGCTTCAATTGAGTGCTCTTGCCAATAACATATTGCCACCCAACGGCATGTGTCTAACAAGGCTGTTTAATGATGAGACTTTGAATGTTGACACCAGTCCAGCGTTTGTTTGCCATAATGGTGCTTTATATTACTTGTCTTGAAAGCCAATTCTGTAAGCTGATGGACTTGTTTTTATTCACGTGTCAAGGCCAAACGGAGGTCGACTTATCCAGTGCGGACAAGTATCACATCTGGGAGTCTCCAGACCCATTTTCAAAAAGGTATTGCTCCAAGATGTTTGGCCAATCAATGTCTTGGTGGATCGTGTTGTTGCGTGAGTGTGTGGTCGAGTTCCATTCCAGCTCACGGCCAACATGAGTGACGATGATCTAAAACCGGTCCTGGGCCTCCCCTAGGTCGACTCACCCTTAAATGAGTACCTGGTGCGATGTTTAAAAACGTTGTCACTAGAGAGACAAAGGCGGCCGGGCGTGGTGCTGGTCACCCACCCGCTCGTGTGCCATGCCGGTCTTCATAGGTGCTCGCTAACAGCACTTGCCCCTACAGTCTGTTCAGGCTACACGGGGGATGTTTGTCTTTTGGTCGACTCAGCCTGACATGAGCACCTGACGCCGAGTGTAAACATCAGCACTGGAGAGACAAAGGTGGCCGGGCGTGGTTCTGACTACGCCAACCCCTAGGAAGGGGTGCCGTCCCGGCCTTCATGTTCAGGTCCGGATGGATCGTAGCATCGCGCGACCGTGAGGGATGGCGACACAGCAGTGGATAGATCATAGCTGATTCTGATGATAGAAGGATCTCGCCGCATGTTACATTATCATAAACTAACGGAATTGCTCGCTACTGTTTAATTGACGTTGGGTAAACATTAGCCTTTAGATTGGGCACAAAATAAATGTTTACAGGTTGGAGGTTACCCCTGACACCGTGGGTGAGCAGTGGCTCGGTGCTTAGCACACAACTGCGCTGTGAACCTGGCAACATTGGTTACGTTCCTGGCTACGGCTAACGTCAGTGGCGAGTGGAATTTGAAAGTGTGGCTCGCCTCCCCACCCCCTTGCCCACCGACTGCCACCGACGAGCCGAGTGGTCTACTCAAGTCACCTCGGTGACCCACTCGGCATGAGAAGGCCTTAATACGGCGGTGGATTGACAATGGTGTTGTTTAATCATTTTAACTTACGGTATTTTAAAGAGCGCAATGACTAATCTGGGTTTAACGTCCCGTTTACACTCAGATAGAATATATTTCGCTGTCCACAATTTCTGTTTCACCCTGATGCAGAGTTTCATTAACTGTTTAGAGTCACCATCAGCAATGATCGGTCCACTGCTGGACGAAGGCCTTTGCTCAAGTAGTCACCCATCGCTCTCGTGGTCCTGCGGTGTAGCAAGCGGACTCCTTTAGCCGCTCCGTCTCCGCCCTGGACGTCCTCTCGGGCGCGTTTTTCTCCTTCGGCTTCGACTCCGTCGTTAGCCTCTACCACCGGCCATTGTATTCTGCCCATCTCATTCACTTGTCTAAGCAATCAAAATTATGTGTAGAGTGTTTAACTTGAGTGCCTCTGTCTCTCGTAGCACAGGGTGCTTCAAAAAATGTTAACACTTCTATGGGACTATCGATTTTAATTGATAAAGAACGGATACTTCACTGTAACATAACAAATGTAGGTTAATAGCTTAAAAAAGTCAAAGATTCTCCACTTGTTCGCCATCATTGTCAACACGTGGCCTGGAATCTTCTCCAGGTGGTCTCCAGAACCTAGAGGCAGCACATTTATTGTGGTATTGTTGCAAATTCTCGGAAGTGTTAACATATTTTTTAAAGCACCCTGCATATGCAATCAAGCACCTCTCCAATCGCATGTGCACATTCTTCGCTATTGTCTCCATGTTCTTTCTTAATGTCCTTGTTCATGATCCACGTGTCATGGTACGTGATATTATTCTGCGTTACGTGCATCGGTATTTGTTTTTTCATTATTCAGTAGAAACATATTTGAGATACTGCACTGACAGCGGTCACACAAGCAGAAATAACACAATCACAACACAGTTGCCAATAACCCTACAAGTCAAACAAAACATAAAAAGGGTGACGCGTTGGGTCAAAGCCCTTCAGCCCTTCATAGCAGAGAGATAAAGAGGATCGTCCCCCGAAACGTCACCTATTACATATATGATTTGTAGTTTTTTAGAGCATTTTATTGACGAATATTGAATTATGTTCAGTTTTTGAAAAGGGCTTTGACCTGCTCCCGATATGTGAGAGCTCAAATTCTGCATTAACAGGTCAACAACCTACTTGATGTACTGCACCACACAGGTACTGTAACCCATTGTTCTGCAGAGCTGTGCGTCTCGCGTATGCTCCCATCTCTTCGTGGTCCACCCACCCATCCTCTACGTGGCGTGCATCGCTCCTGAAACACTTTAGCGCCTCCGAATAGCACGGTTGGCGACGTACGGTGCGAAAGAAGTCCAACGTACAATGAGAGGTTAGGTTATATATTTATGCGATCTAACCCAAAAATACCGATATTATGGATGATATTGGTCGCGAAAGCCGACTGCGTGTTAAAGTAAGAGGTAAGGTGTCAACGGTTCCATACTTTGCTATTCTGCACTTTAGCCGCCAGGTGTCAGTGTTAACCGCGTCTGATCACACCTACAGTATTTAATTAAATTGAATAGACCATCGGTCTTATCATGAACATAATTAGGGGTACAGCCCTATCCCTATGTCAATCCACTGCTGGGTTGGTCATAGCCTGGCTGTTGAGAAAAGTCAGTGAGTTTTGGGCAGGACACATAGTTCATAGTTCATTTATTTGGTATAGCCCTGTGAGCCATTCGGCTCTTGAATCGGGTGCAACCGCAACAAACAAAAAACATGAACAAGAAAACATCTTAAAGTGATTTTATGACTGTGCAAACAGAAAATACAGGAAAAAAAATCAAAATATTCCTGAAAATATTCCTTCTGGTCACATCATGACCAGAAGCAACGATGATGATAATGATGGCCGATGAAAAAAACTGCTCATAGTATTCATGTTTGGAGTTAATTTTGTGTGACCAGCTGAGAGCTCAAAAGGGACCAGGATAGACAGTCTCGTTTGCAAAGGTGGCCTGCGTCACTCCATTGACGAAACGAAAACGAATGAAATGAAGTGTGCCGATGAAGACAATTCATCGAGAGAAAAACAAAGTTGCTTGTTTGAGATGTGGAAACTGTTGCACACAAAATCAACGTAAAATTATGAAATAATTAATTCCCTGCAGCTCAAGTCGGCTCGGAAAGATAATTTGTATTATTATAATACAATGAAAACATTAAGTTACGGAAACATCAAAGAGATGCGATCGTGTGCATTAGTGCGATGGATCGTGGGATTGCAGGACCTTGATGTATGGCGACATCGTGGGGAGTCATTGATCCAGCAGCAGACAAACCATGGCTGATGATGCAATGGATGATGATGACGACGATAATGTCTCTTACTGCTGCTGATGCTGCTGATGATGACGAATTGAATGGATTCTCTTCTCGCCTTGTGTGTGGCTGCGCGTGCCACAGTGGTGAACTTCGTGGTCCACAGTGTGGGTTGCATGGCCGCGATCTCACGACCGTGCCATGTCTTCCTTTCCCATTCACAAAGGAGATGCGCGCCTCGGCCTGCGGATGATGAAAAGGATGATCACGACGATGATGATGAGTGATCACGGAATGGCTGCTGCTGCCGACAATTATGATGGTGATTTAACACGTAGTAGGGGGTTTTCACGACCAATGTCATCCATAATAGAGGTTTTTTTTTATTAGATCGCGTAAATATATAGATGTGTCGTTAAAACCCGCCACCACCCGACACAGCCAACTAGTAAGGGTTGTCACGTAAACAGAACGTGGCCAATTCGTCACTAGTACAGCACACCGGCGTGTTGGAGAGCCAAGCCATAGCATTTACAATCTGAGTACGACGTTTCGCCAGCAATTACAACTAGCTTCATCAGGCGACAGCCAGAATTGTGGAGAAGTCCACCTGTTGCGTTCTTTATATAGAGGCGTAGATGTGGTGACCACGCTTCTGCGCTCTTGCGCCACGTGGGGGGGGGGGGGGGGTTACTGTGGCAACGTACATTATACAACATGCGAGCCCTTTTAACTTGTCCTTCCTGTCTATTGTGTATA